AGCCAGCCATTTGCAACAGGGAGAAAGCTGAGTTTATTGGAGGTTGCACAGACAGCCTGTTTTTTTCTCTTTATTCCTGATCTTTGTGACTATTTGTACATTCAAACATCTAGACACCAATCAGGAATGTTTAGTTACATCCCTGCCTCTGTAATAAAATGTTCCAGGACAATTTTGGAGAAGCCAAACACTCATTAAGACCTTTGAAATAAATGAATCATGATGTGCCATCGGCTTTACAAGTGGTTACACCATACAGATTCAACTAGAAGGAACAAATTAACCTCTAGGTCCTGTGTAATGTACCCTTTGGATCCAAAATTCCCTGGAAAGAAGGGACTGCTTGAGGAAAGTGTTGAACGTTAACATTTACTTTAAATAAAGAAAAGTCCAAACCCAAAACCCATGAGGAAACAACACAAAAGGAATTTATGGTAGTCCCCAGCTGCTGACAGCTTTGCTTTATTCGGTGCTTACTTGTACCAGTGAGACTTCTATGTGAACGGAATTTGAAGGGTGAGAGTAAAGGATTCAGGTTTTCATTTAATATCCAGGATGTCATTATAAACAGTCAGTCTTCAAAGAGGGAGAAAAAAAAGAATCAGCCTTCAACAATACCTCAAGTAAACGCACCAAAACAAGGTCAATGGTCTGGGGCATTTCCAAGTGTATATAGAGGAACACTGCATTTTAGAGACACAGGGCTGCAGGGACTATTCACACAGATAAACAAAAGGCTGGTAACACAGCTAATGGCAGCCAAATTATATATACGGGCATTTCTTTTTTTTTTTTTTTTTTTTCCTCCTGCTTTTCCTTTTCATTTAAAATTGTTTCCTTTTGTTCTGCAGGACAATGAGATGCTTGTGCCCTTTCTCACAGTCCCATTGGTGTAGTCTGGGCAGCTGGTACTTACCTGGGATTGTGATTGCGCAGTGCTTCATTGTCTCTTGGATGTTTCAGAAATGCATTAAGGTAAGTCAGCATATTGAGGAAAAGACTGTTCCATGAGAGATAAACCATGCTGTTTCAGAGGGGTACATGGATTTGACCATATTGTCCACAAATGAACAGTACAAGTGAATTTATGACTTCAGAGAAAACATAAACATTGAGCTAAGGATGTCTGCAACTGGCATCAGTACAGAGGGAACATGACTTATACTGGACTTCCTCCAGAACTGAGATTATCTCTATACTTTCTGTTGTCTTTATGAAAATTGCCGCCAGAATTCATCAATATCCTTTGGGATCACAGATGCTATCATAACAATAAAACAATCAGATTAATAAAAAGATCCCTGAGCTCACAGTCAGCAATGTGCAGAAGATTTTTGCTATGGAAATATTTGGGTGATATTGACTCATTAGGGCAGCCTTCTGTACAGCAAATAATGAAGACATGAGCTGCAGGAAATAACATGAACCTCTGAACCACATGTGAAACTGAAACCCTCAGTTTCTGGTGGAATTAGGAGCCAGCTCTGTTTATTGAAGCATGATCTATGCAGTCCTTGAATTACTGCCCAGAGAAGAAATCCCATAGGACCCGACATCCATCTGTGTCTGATGGTGATGCTGCTACCTGGCTTCTCCAAAGTACCAATTGCTCCTTTGCTTGAGCAGAAGACTGGAACCATTATCTGTGTGCAATGCAGGGCACACTCACACACTGCCTTTGGATGTAGTTACAGTGCACACCTGCCCAATGCATACAATCAGACCTAGCATGTGTAAAAGACTCATTGCAAAATGATTGCCCAGGAGGAGCCAAACTAGGCTGGGATCCTGTACTTAGCAATCTCCACCAGGAGCTGCTGCAGGCAGGCAGGTCAGGTAGGCATGGAGGTGTGTTATCCTCTCAGGCTCCAGTGCTCTACTCTTCTGAACTGGCAAGCTGAGTCCCAGGGAGGGCAGAGCAGAGAGAAGTAATTAAAAAGAAAGTGGGAGCTCAGGATTTGGGTGTTTACATAGACAGGTGCTGAGAGGGTGACCAACAACCGCAAGAGTTTGCCCTGCTTGCTCTGACGCGTTGAATACCTTGGCAGCGATGGTGGTTGCACACGGCAAAGGGGCTGCAATGACTCATCTCACAGGAGCTGGCCCAAACAGAGTCTGTACCTGCAGCTTCAAAGTAAGGCCTTCTTTCAAATGATCTCCTTCTAAACCAGATTTTATCAAAGCTGTTTCTCCTTCTAAAATGGGCTTTACAAATGCTGCTTTCCAAGAATCTAGGTTTTCTGAAAAGCCTCTGCTGAGATTTCCATGCAGAAGGCCACAGGTGAAGGCATACAGCATTCAGAATGAAGGCACCCAAATTCAAGTAAGGGTTTAGCAAAACTAAATGCCAATGTCAGCATGTCTATAGCATATGAGGCCTCTTCTTTTTTTTTGCTTACGATGCAGCCTCTAAGTTCAAAGTACAAGAGGCATTGCTTCCTGCAAGTGGTTTGTGATAAGGGCATTTAGCACAAATGACACTGCATTTCTAAACCGCTTAGTGGCAGAAGCCATTTTGTGAGAAAAGAAAAATTTTAGGGAATTGTTACAGAATTTCCTGGAAGTATGCTCCAAATCTCATACTCAGGGTCACAGTCGGGGTGCTCTTGTTATCTCAGACCCCATGCCCATGAAGGAGGCTGTTGTCGAAGCTCCTCCTCACCTTTCTCCTCCCATACAAAATAGCACCAAGACCCAGCTCTCCTGCCTCCAAGGTGATTGTATAGCACACCTGATTTCTTCTATTCCCTGACAACTAAACAGATGCGTGTGTCTAGACAGAGCCCAGGGCCCTTCCTCACAAACCATCAATAGATGTGTGCTAAGAGAGAAATGTGAGGGAATGCCCCGCTAAGGGCTTCTGATGTCTTTTCACATCAGAAAGGTCTCCTGCTGCTGAGGTTGGTGATGTTCCTCTGAGTGCTTACAGGCATCGTTGGCGTGGGGTGAGGGAGGTCCTGGACACACCTCCATGGATACGCTATGGGCATTTGGGACTGCCAAGGCGCCTTGTCAGAGGACCCGTAACTGACCTGCAGCTGCCATGCCAAAAGCATGTCTGAAGACCCCCACAGCTGACAGGTGCATCAACAGAAGTTAATTTGCTATCAGCTGGACTACAGACTGCTTCCAGGGATGATGCAGTCTACCCTTCCTGCAGGTGTTGTTGCTGACTTTGTCTGAGAAAGGGGATACCTGCCACAGCCAGAGGCAGGAGAAAAAGAACTGCCAGCTCTTCCCCTGTAATGTAAAGTGGAAGAAGGGGGCTGAAACTTGAGATACAGGAAAGTATTTTAAACCCAGGCCTCCAGCTCTCTGCTAGGAATGACATAGTGTATGAACAGGATCCAAAACATCATTGTTTGCACACTACAGGGAAAATGTCAATCCAATGCTTTAGGATTCTCCTGCCTTCTCCAGCCAGTTTCTATCAAAGGCTTGGCAACTGCAGGAACCAGTAGTCTAGAAAATGGCAGATCATTAACCTCTGCTTGGCTTCAAAACCTCACTGTGACCAGGGAACAGAGGGATTTTGTTTAAAATGCCTTTAGAATACACGCTGCCATTGAAGGGGGCTGCTCATGTTGGCTCCGTTTTGTGCAGATAATTGCATGCTTCCTCCCCTGCTTTACTGATGAGGCTGGTACCATCATGCTGCTGGTCAATGAGGCTAATTGCCAAGTCAGGATAGCTACCTCCCAGCTATGGTGTGATCCTTCTGGCTGGAGACTCCCTCATATAGAGAATATGTGAATATTCTACTTTTATACTCAGAGGCAACTCTGAGAGCCAGATGCATACAGCCCTGGCTCTTCTAGAAGGAGGCCACATGATTTAGCCCTGCTGTCATGAGCTGTGTGCAGCTTACAGGGCAGAGGAAAGCTAAAATTTCCAGTTATCTTACAACGCTTCTCCCTGCATCAAGACTGATGGCTGTCTCATGCAGAAGGAGGAGGTGACAGCAGCTTGTCACAAGACTCATGTATACCATGGCAGCAGGCAGCAGTGGCAGAAACAAGGATTTCCTTTCAAATGTATTTCAAAGAAGGTGTTTCTTCTCCTGCCAGCTTGCAGAGTATGGAGCAAGGATGATGTGTGAATCTCAGGAAAGCCAGCTGAGTAACCCCACATTTGCCATCTTCAATGGACTTAAATGAAATGCCTTCTTTTCCCTGGAGTAAATAATAACAAACTATGCAAAAACACCTTTTGCTGCTGAAAACCTGTTTTCTGGAGTATAGTATGAATGTCTGTATTTACTTTTCCTCAAGCACAAAGAACTTAGAGAAATTGTTGTCACATGCTGCCAATTAATTGCCTGTTAGGAACTTGTCTTGTTCAGGTACCACGTATCCTGCTTAGCCTGAAGTCTCTGTGCAACATATTGGAAAAGGATATTTGTACTGTCAAACCAGTGCTTTGGCTGAGAGATAGACCACTATTTACCAATGCTCACAACTAATTAAATTAGCAGCATTGAAAATCGTGCCTGACACATCCTGCCAGATCTATCGCCTGTCGCCAGTTTGCCTGTGTGCATGCTGGTGACCTCTTCATCACCTCTACAGTGGGTCCAAGGTGTACAGAACACACTGAGCTGACTCGGCTTATTCACCAGCCTCTCTCCCCATGTTGTGCAATGCACATTTTCCAGGAAATGGGTGTTGCGCAACCCTGGCAGTGAGGCTCAGAACGTGGTAACTCCTCACACCCCAAGCAGGAGGGCAATAAACACCCAAAGCAGTCCCTACCACTAACATTGGTACAGAGTTGGTAGGACTGAGCTGGAACTTTAGCTCAAAGAGTGGCTCTTCAGTCTTTTGATGGCAAGAATGAAGAACTGTCTCTGTGACTCATCCAGAGCTATCACCATCTACTGTGACTCAGCCAGTGGAAACACTCGTGCTGTCTGTTGCTTGGTATCGCCATGTACATAATTGTAAGATAACAGCTGTGTTTTGGGGCATCGAAGGGGAGAGTCTGGATACAGAGGCACTCACCATGAAGTGGATGGTCCACTGGGAAGCCACATAGCTGATCTTCCTCATGTTTTCTTTTGCCTTCCAGACGTTCACGTCCCGTGTCCTCACCCAGTAAGGACACTGGGTTGGCAGTAGGTCTTCTGCAGTGAGTTGCCTGCACTCTCCTTGCTTTGGCCATGGGTGCAGCACACGTGGTGGGAAGAAGCATTTTGGCTGAAGGTAAGTCACAGTCAGACTGACTCCGGCTGCTGGAATCTGTGAAGGACACAGCACAAGACAGCTTTGAATAAAGCAGCCAGCATTCAGCACGCCTTCCAGTTTGTATGAAAAAAGTGCTCTGGCTATTGTACCATTCAAACCTGATCATATTTAAAATGGCCCTAATCCTTCTGTGCTGTACTTCAATGCCAAGATTACCTCATGTTTCAGACACAGGATCTTGGTGAATTTGACCTCCAAATCTTGCCTGTTTTCTGCTTCCTTCCACCTTAAAACTTTCAATGGTCCTTATAAAGAGATTTTTTTAAAAAGGACTGTAAAAAATAAGGAGACATAACCAAAATATTGAGAAGTCTCAGCTTCCCTGTCAGCATCCAAAATATTGGCTGCCTTTTTGGAAGAACTTGGAGGCAAAGTGGATATTGAGCTGCTCTGAAAATCTGTCAACAAGATTGCAATGGAATTTGCTGGATGCCAAATGCTTTTAAAAGTCTGGTCCTTTCTTAAATGTCCTTGTAGGTACATCTACCCTATAAGAAAATGGGCCAATTAATAGGCTAAATGTCAGTGTCTTCCCCAATTCCTTGTTTCTCCATCTGGGCTGCCTGCTCCTCTGATTTAGGCATCGGACAATTCTAAAAGCAGCCTTTGCCCATGCTGTCAACATTTCCCCTCTGCCTTTGTGACAAGTGATGCTGGTCATATCTAGAAAGCTCAACTTTCAGCCAACTCATCTTTGTGAAATCACCTGCATGCTCTTGTTGACAGGACAAACAGGAGAAGCGTGTGTTGGCCTATATTCGCGAAGTACAGCTGTAACATTAACTTAGATTTGAGCATGGACATTATAAACAATCTCTACAGTAACCTCAGCAGCAACCAGTGATGTCACGTGCTAGGACACCTGACCCCAGGTGCTGAGGAAATTGGTCCCAGAAGCCACAATCTTTCTTCAGCCATGGTGCTGCCTTATTACTAATATACCATTACCTCAGCGTATAGCAGGGGCACCACAAAGATCTTCCAGGTAACTTCTCTGCCCTCATGAATGTAGTATGAGTTCTTACTCCTCCTTATGAATGTAAGCAGACCTTGCACAGCCATGCACTGAAATGTAACACGCTGGGAAGCCTCGAGGTTTATGGTAGTGGGCTGCCTGTGGCTGTTAGCATCCCAAGAGAGTTACACCAAATACCTCACTCTCCACCTCCCTTTTCTGTGCTACAGCCTTGCCATAAACCCTGATGCTGAGTGTTTGATGTGCTGCCTTTGATAGTTGCAGTCATGGCTCAGTTGACTCTTCAGAGACAAGACATCTGAGTCTGTGCCGCTTTAATGGCAAACCTAGAATTTGCTCTAGCTCTCCTCCCCACCTGGATTTCTTTGCTTGGAAAGCCAGAGTAAAAGGCAACACATGAATATAATGTACCCATTGGGGAATTTAGGTTTCATGGTTTGAATGGCCTGGGAGCAAATATGACAGTACAGGTTTGTCTGCTATTATTGCCAAAGAACATTAAAATCCTAATGTAATAATGGACTGCACTCCTGAAAAGTCTCCCACATCTGGGCTCTGAAATTTGCTGCACCTGTGGGTGGTCTCCTCGCCCTTCTCATATCTAAATGGCAGCAGGTGTGAGCCACTACAGGTTGTACTCAAAAAGACTCCACTTTTTAATATATATTTTATGTATATATATGATATATACATGTTGTCATGTCTGGCATTGGCAAAACATCTAACTTTTTAGACTTGTTAGAGATTTATTTTCTCAAACCAACAAGTTCTATTTGAAAGCAACTTTGGAGCAATGATAATTACAACATCTGGAGACAAAGTACCCAATTCTGATTCGGCCCTCACTAAGAGCTCACGCAATAGGAGTTTTATAGAGGGCTGACACTTACATGAAGAAAACAAAGTTATAAGAGCTCCAAAAACTAGCCAAAGCTTAATTTCAATAAAGAATAATTGTTCAACTGTTATCTATTTGAAATATCAACAATCTCTGAGTAACCTTCTAAACACAATCACATGTGTACAGTCATGGGGACCTTAAAAACCTGGCCCACCTCTGCATTTGAGGTACATTGTGCAGAATGGGACTAATTTTATTCCTTTAGTATCAACTAACTTTGAGTTTTCTGGTGAGAAGACAGGTGAGGTTTTGAATAATATTTGTGGGATAAAAGAGAAGGATAGACCTGGTAATGGTCACTAGCATGAAGCAGGGGTTAAATAACAGATGATCAGAGGATATCAGTACTGGCATAGGTTCTTAGCCCAGGATTTCTATCTTAGTCTCCCATCCCTAAATTAAGAACTAGTTGCACTCCTTTGCTAGATATGATGCTGTGAAAAATCATATATTACAGAAGTGATGATGCTTATATCCTACAGTAATGAAAAATGTAAGGGTAATGTAAATCACCTAAGCAAGATGCTCTTGTGGGGAGTGATTAAAGCTTTCTAAGAATGACATTAGCATTTCCTAAATTATAGAAGACTTTTCACATGTCTTTATTCTTTACATACAACTTTCCTCCCCAGTATTTTTTCTGACATGCTCACATACCCCAGTGATGAGCACAAGTTATGTATGAGCATGGACAGAGCAATTACAGACTGAAGTACGGAGGAAATGGAAGACAGTCCCAGGCAGATCAGAAAATGCCAATGTCTCTGTGAACTGGTGAAAAGGAGTGGGAGGATCTGTTGTTTGAGATCAAAGAAGTATGAATCTCGAAGTATGAACCTCTGAATTAATAAAGGAGTTTTTCTGGAGGATAAGATTGAAGGCAGATAATACTGAGTTTACAGCACATAGCTGAGAGTTAGGAGCCCCAATCCTATTTGCATTGCAACCTTCTCTGGTGTTTGTTGTTCTGACCAAGTAAAAAGCCTGCCTGAAGTGGATGCTTTTTAGGTCAGCCTGAATTTTTTTTGGTATACATTGATGTGACTCCAGCAGGGAGCTCTGAAAAACAGGTATAAACTGGCATGGGGCAAAACTTCCTCCAGAGAATGTAGTTTTCTTTCTTTTCTGTTTTTCCCCCAAAGAAGGCAATGACATTTCAGCCCAGCACAACATGAGATACTTGTTACTGTCATGCATAGAAATTACTTTGACTTGTGGCTCAAAATGGTCTTTTTTGTCTTGACTTTCAGTTGCATAGGAAAGGATGGACAATTTCAGGCAAGATAGTAGGGTTTCACTTTGAAAGCAGAGGTTATTTCAGATGACCTAAGTTCCATTTAAGCCTTGTTGTGTAATCACTGGAGAGAGACAGACCTGAGGAGGCAAAATGTTTATCATTTTAGGGTCTTACTAAGGCTGTGAACAGGGAAGAGTCTATCACTGAGAAAGGGAAGCATATTTGGATTGTGTTTTTTTTCTATTTCTTCTACATATTTTTCTTCCTTTCCTGTTTTTTGCTTTCCAGGTTTATTGGTTTTCCTTGCAATAGGTGGGGTGAGTTGGTCTGATTGGCCAGATGGTATCTGTTGAGTTAGATTCCTTCAGTTTGTTTCCTCTTTAGTGATAAAGATGGGTGGAGTGTTGCTAAAGGTGAACAATCACCATATTGACATTTGTGTGTGAAGTGGTGGTTGTATTCCTATTAATTTGCATATCCTTAATATAATGGAGCATAAGACAGGCAGAATGATGAAATTACCATATCTGTTACTGCTTTCACTATTAATTTCCCAGGTGTAACACTCTCATCCCAAGCTTTCCCTGACTTGATAAAGGATCTCCTGTTTGTGAAACCTCACTGGCAGAAACCAGGGGAGTAATGAACAATCAGTTCAGATGTAATTTCAAGTACATTAAAATCAGGTTCCTAGGAACTTCAGAACAACTTTTACTTTTTATTTTTTTTTTTTTTTTTTTTTTTTTTTTTTTTTTTTTTTTTCTGAAATAGGCCTAATATTCTTCTGTGTTTTCAATGAAAGAGTTGGCACAAAGGAGGAGATCAGCACTCACTGAGTGTTTAATGTATTCCTTGCAAAGGCCATGGTTACCCTTTTTAAGCATTGTGACAAAAGGTTGAGAGGAAAAGCACAGACTGCATACTAAAATGTCTTCTTGTCCATAATTTTTTTTAAACTTGGTAAGAGTCTTTCAATGATTTCAACAATTTCAATAACTGCAGCTCCAGGTCCTCTAGCTGTTGTGTTTGTGCAGTGAACTGCCCTATGACTAACACTGCAACTGGAAAGCCAAATGCTTCAGAGAGCACTGCACACTCCTTATTCCAAGTCCCACTGGAACCACACTCACAAAAACATATGAACTTAGGAGTCAGACCCAGAAATCTTCCCATACAGCATCAAGCCCCACCATTCTGTGAGAGGCTTGCACTGTACATCACAACATCCTTTTTGTCAGAGACTCAGAATAATTTGTTAGAAGCAACTTCTAGAAGTCACTGATCCAGAACCCATGGGTTTTCTTGGGAAACTTGGTTTGCACCCCTCGTTTAGAATCATAGGTTGGAAAATACCTTTGAGATCACCGAGTCCAAACATCAGACCACCAAGTCAAACCATTTCTGACATTCTGCATCTTCTGCTCCCCTGGTCCTACCATCTCCTCAGCTCATAATGACTAGATTTAGACTCCAGGACAAGTGTGATCTTGGTACTGAGACTGTCTACATCAGGTGGTAATTTCTGTCCTCAGTATTTACCTCACAGCAGCCTATGTGGATCTTCCTGTCTCTGTCTCATATGAATCATAGCTTTGCTCAGATAAATACCATAGAGGATTGTGGGGAATGTTCTTAAAATCCTTAGTAAGATATAACTAACCCCTGACCTGCAGTACTTCCTTCTTTGCTGCTGCTAAACTGTTAAGAGAAAGCAGCTGGATTTGTGTCCCATCCTGGAATTTCCAGCAAGTTCCGTAGCTCATTTCAGTTCCCTGACCTTGGCCAGCACTGAGCCATACTAGACGTGGCCGATTATTTGCACAATTTTTTAGTGACAGTGTTATATTGCGTGAAGCTGAATGACTTAGATGGAATACAACAATTATCCCAAGATGTACAGCACAGGGTATTGCACTTCTGAAATACATGTAACTTATCTGAATAAATCACAGCTCTGCTCAGAAAGCAAAGGGTAATAAATTTAGGGACCACATTCTTAGGTAAGAAACAAATAGTGAAAAAGTTTTGGTTTTATTTTTTTAAACTTCCTTGATCAATTGCAAAGTACAACAACATTTTGGAATATTTCTGCAACTTTCCTGTTTTCCCATGTCCAGTAACAGTTAAGTGAATCTTCACATGTATATACTGTTTTCATTAGTTAATATCTTACATTCCCTTAAGTTTATGAATCCAGCCTTGCTTTCTAGCAGGAGAGAGGAGCCACTATATTCTCTTGCTACAGCTACAGTCTCTATCTGGTGTGAAGGTAGTGAAGAAAAGCAAAAGGCAAGGCCTGCTGGTTCTGCCTGCATCGCTTTCGAGATGAAAACTGACTGCATGCTCAGATGGAGCAACTTGGGGTGAGGCAGCACTGGTAGGGCAGTAGTGCAGTGCCAGGAACCCACCCTGTCCTGCATGCAGGCTCGTCAGACCCTTGTGCTTGCACTTAGCTGAGACACACAGTAAAACTGGGCTTCAACATATTCATTGTGAAAAAGACTTAATGTAAAAAGGTCCTGTCTCTGCTCCCAGAGAACACTCTCATGTTGCTGAAATGCAGTTCTGTTGCCCACGTTGTGAGCAAGCACTGACTGAATTTTCAGCGGTGTTATTTGTCTCACTTTGGATCCAGTGGCACAAAGTGACTGCCACAGGCCCTCAGGAAAGGACTTTCAGCTCACAAAACCACACTGCCGAGCTCACAGCAGCACTTCTCCCCTTTCACAACCTCTGGCACATGGGCCCCACTTCATCATCAGCAGCATCAGCCACGTCCTTGTTCACCTCTACAAACTACCGAGTTCTTGCTTCTCTCAGGACTGGTTGTCCAGTTCCAGTTGGCAAAAGCAGCTTAAGGAAACCTCCAAATGCTCTAGTCCACTAATAGTACCAGTGGCAAAATAGGCAAGCTACACTTGCCAAAGCCTTCAGCAACCTCATTTTATCTTTGGAACAGCTTTTTCCTTCGAGCAGATGACCTGGAGAGGTCCCCCCAGTTATCCTATGGTTCTGGGAAAAAAGCCAGCAGAATGCTGTCTCCCTTTCCCAAACAGAAGTTTCTATGGAAAGCTGCAGTTACTGGCACAAAGGCAGCAGTGGTATGTTCAGCCCCAATGCAGTGAGGTGAGTGGTGGGCTGACTGCCACCCAGTGAGGAGATGAGTTATCCTTTGTCACAGATGAACTAAAATAAGTCCAAATCTTACGCAAAGCATGACTGAGAGTCAGTGTTAGGGTGCCTGAGTCCAACCCCAGTAACTAATATTACAGTAGTGAGTGGTTTCCCTCAACATTAGGTCTTGTTTGCTTTCCAGTCCAGGTCGGTATCCACTTTGGACATAAAAAGAGATGAAATTATGCAAATAGGCAATGGTTTCTTGGACTGGCAGGCTTTTGGAAAAAGACTCTCTCCCTTGCTAATGGGCAGCTCATCCAGTGTCCTGGGAAACGGGGTCCTGATCCATGAAAGTATCTCTCTATATTACAAAAAATAAAGTGTAGCATTAAGCTTTATTGAAAGCAGTTGAGTGAGAGGTGAGTGAAAATTTTGTGCCAAAAGTCCAGGTCGTTTTTTGTTTAAGTGGATCTGCTTGTATACATATCTGTTTCTTATGGAAAAATGCAGATTCAAAAAGATGAGAAAATACTTAATCCAGAAAATGCTGGATGTTGTTCTTTGTTTAACGAAAGAAGGAGACAGTTTCTGTGGGGGTAAAAGTTCACTCAAGGCCAGAGTAACTAAACTGTGAAAACTGAAGTCAAAAAGTCTAATGCACTTGCTGGTTTGCTAAGATCAAAGTCATGCAAGTTTTCTACTAGCTGTTTTTATTTAGTTCATGAAAGAACCTAGTCTTCATGATTATAAAAAAAAAAAAAAAAAAAAACAACAAAAAAACCCCAAAAAACAGATTAAACATATATGCTTTCTCTGTTCTTATTCCAGCAATTGGGTTCTAACACTCCGGTAGCTACCATTACCCTTACAGATCAAGCACCTTCTGCTTGAGGGTGAGTGGTCAAATTTATCAGAAAAGGATGCTGATATTAAGATTTGGCTGTAATTCCAGACAACTGTCAACTCCTGGTATAAGTGAAACTCTAAAAATTTTGTTAAGCTGCAGCAGTCTTAGGCTCACTTCCTGAGTCTGAATACCTGTCCTTACGGCACACATTTGTCTTTTCTCCCCCCTACTAGATAACAAGAGTATTGTTTTTTAAAAGGAAAGATGCTGTATTTTTTACACTATATAAGCACTCCTCACTGAAGAGAGCCACCTGAAATAACATACTCACCTCTCCAATGACACTGAAGCTTTGCAATGTACCAAATCCCAGAGTCCAATCTATTGCGAGGTTGAAGGCAAATTATTTTTAAAATATTATTTCTGCCTATGTAATGAATGATTTGTACCCAATAAGGGAAATCCCAAATTCCTATAAAAGTTAAAGAATTAAAATTCTAGATGACTGAACCTGACAGCATTTGGGACCAAAAAGCAAGGAGCGTTTTTATTAAGTTTTGTGACTGGTACTTACCAAAGGCCAAGGGTGACCCTGCTTTTAGGGACGGAGGTCTCTCAGCGTAGCTACTTCTGTTCCTGGTTTCGCTGCTCGGGACAGTGCTGGCAGAAGGTTTCTTTAAGATTTCCTCAATGGAAAAGGACAGGCTGGGCTTCCTCTGTCCAGCACACAGGCGGGGGTCCGTCATGCTCCTGCCCCGGTGGCCGTGGGACGCAGAGTGCTGTCGCGCAGCACGCCGAGGGACACGCGGCTGGGACGCTCCGTGTCCCTCCCCGGCCATGCCCGGCTGGCAGCAGGGAAAGGCAGCTCAGCACAGCCTCCTCGCTGCCGATCACCCCGGGACCGGCACCTGCGCTCCCCGCCTCTGGGGAAGGCACTGTTGGAAGTGGGGGTTAAAAGTCTCACCGACCCCACCCACCGCCAAGCGTTCCCCCTGCCTCTCGTGTTTACGGAGCTCTGAGCAATCGTATGGCTGTGCAGGAGGAGGTGTGCTCCTTGCAGAACCAGGAGAAAAATGCCCTGGGAAGGGTTGCGTCTTGTTGGTAAATCCTGTTTGTGGGGTAGTTATCTTCCTTTTCTGCTTTCAGGCTGAAACCTGCAAAAAGCCCACTGGATTTGTTCCATTACGGAGTTAAGAAAATAATTGGCAGGACAAACACTTGACCCTCGGGCCATTTACTAGCAAGAGAGACAACCTGTAAACTTCTCTCGCGTACCAGGAGGTGTCACATATGAAAAGCTTCCTCACTAGCAGTTCCCAGGTTTTCCTTCAGCCATCCCTCCTAGCCATCAGCTTTGGTTCAGATTCTCTTTTCTTCTATTGTGAAAACCCTTTGAACTTTCCAAGCAGGTGCTTTTCAACATCATCCCTTCTTATCAGTCACAAGAGAAAAAGAGATGGCCCTTGCAACACTTGTAGGAATAGGAATTAGTGCCTTCTAACCCCCACCTATACTTGTAAAGAGAAAACATTATTGTCTTTCCATCCTGAGCTATGAGGCAAGCTAGCTTGATAATCATCCTACCAGTTGCTTAAGCCTCCCAATTAGGCATCCAGCACAGCGGGAGAGTTCCCGGTTAATGAGGGTGAATACCTGTGATTCCTCTCCTGAGCCACTTCTATCTTCTTGTTAATTTTTATTTTGGGAAGAATGTGGGTAGATACACTCTTGTTCCTTCTCTCTGCCTCCCCCCGGGCATTTCTTGCCTTCTTCTGGGATTGCCCCTCACCTTTTAAATTGCTATGGTCGTTTCTCCCTTTCCTGCTTGCTCTTCTCCGTGCCTTCCTTATCAGGCTCTTATAATTGTATTGGCAATCCCTGCCTTATTTGTCCAGCGAACTGACAATTCTTGAGCTGATATCCCATCATATGACCTTTTCATGGAGTGGAGACCAAAATTACTGTGTAACCAGGGGGCAATAAACCACACCTGATAAGATGAAAGGCTTTCGGCTTTTTCCAGATTCTAGATACTGGAAAAAGGGTGGGGGCTGACGAGGAAAAGAACAATGGAAGAGGTTCAAAATGATGCAGCCAGTTGTGATGAAGAACATTTAATTATCTGATTTTATGAATCAAATTCTCCCCGGGCGACAGGATAGACCAGTGAGTGTCTTTCACACTGACAACACACGTGGCGGAGAGTGGGAAGTGTTTTCATTTGTTCCCTTCTCTTCCCTCTGCTGTTTCTGTAAAGGAGGATCTTGTGCCTTCCTGGTTGTGTGATGAGGTGGCAGCTGTTGTGTGGGTGCAAAAGTTCTTGTGGCCTTCTCCCTTAAGCAGGGAACATCTTCCCGTTTCAATCCCTGCACTGGAGGAATGTCTCTCTGGCCAAGCTTTGTCATCTCCAGCTTTGCTGCCAGAGTCTGTAATCCCAGCTGGGCACACAAAGAGGGATGTGCTTTCTTAGGCAGAATGAGAGAGTTGGTAATTTATGGGCTGAGAACAGGCGAGCATGCTGTCTGTACGAAGCGAGAAAGGAAAGAAAGGTGCTCTGAATCCATATCCTGGATTAAAACTGCCTATTTAATAAGAGGGTTTCCCTTTTTTCCTTGTGATTCCTGATTCAAAATCCATGAAAAAGCACAAGGAGCAACCTAGCACATTCTTTTACAGACACCGTATTTTCCCTACTCTGTTTGCCTGAGGCACTAAAAAGGGACCCACTTTTCTTGCTTTCTGGCTTCCTGTACAGAAATGGCTTCAAATCTTACTTCCCAGATGCCTCAAGTTGAGAGTCCTTGAGGCAGCCTTCACTGTATTAACTTAGTATATATTACATTGTGTGAACTCTCTGATGTTTACTGTGCTGCCTTTTACCTGTAAGTTTCAGGCACAGGAAAATCAGATCTAGGGACGTCTTGTGTTTTAAGCCTCCCCTGCTGTCCATTTTTCTAAAGGATCTGTGTAGTTGCAGGAGTGAAGCCTATGGATTTGTCTGATTCAATTATTAAATGAAGCAAGGCCACATTTTCCTTTGCAATGGAAAACTTTAGCTTTGGTTTGTTATTAAAACCTAGGTGTTCAAAGAGTTCATATCTTGCTGCAGGGGCAGGAGGAGGAGGAAGAGGAGGATTTCACAGGAAAGTCTGATAGATCCCAGTACTCCTCATGTGAGGACTCATATCTTTGGGTAAAATAGGAGAGTAAATTAGCCTAGACACTCTCAGGGCACAAAAATATATCTTCTATCCCTCTTCCTTGCCCCAGCTCCATTTTTGCTGTGTTAAACACACAGGGTTTTGAAAGGGAGAAACGTAACCTTCTGGCAGAAATACATGCGCATTCATGTTAAAAAGTTTCTGAAGTAAAGAGAGTTGAGACAGGCAGACTCCAAGTTTCCATCTCAGAATATAATAAATACTTTTATTCTATAGCCATGAGGGAATTCAGCATTACTCCATACTCAGAGTGCCTGCACTGCCTGTCTCCACTGCCACCAGCTCACTCTGTGCAGGCACCTGCTGAGATGATTCCATAGTCCCATGTCACAAAATCAAATGGTGCATGTTTGTATAACTAGTCTGTCTCAGTCTGCAACTTTAAACCTTCCTGCTGCTTGCAGTGACAAGTTGATTTTCTGTGTGTGCTTAAATTAGATGCTCACATGCAAATTTACAACTTGAAAGTGTCCTTGTGAAGGCTTTATTTTTGTTCTGTCTGATTGTATTGTACTTTTTTATTGAAACTGAAGGCAATGTCAACTGAGAAATATATTTTTGTTCTTCTGTATTTGAAAACAAAACAAGCACAAAAGTAGGAAATAGGATAAATAAGTGACAACTCTTGAAAGGGGATTAGAAAGCAGCAGTGTAATGATGCATAAATCCCATGTTTTGTGTACAAAAGTTTCTTCAGAAAAAAAGGCAAGTTTGATATCAAAATGTTTAAGTAGTACCAAAAGACTTGAACATTTTACTATTTTTAATACAGAAGTGGAAAAATAGTGATAAATACAATTTCATTAATTAAAAAAAAAGATTAAATACTGTCTTTGGAATGACTGCTCGCCCAGAATTTCCTTGCTTTGTATTATGTTAAAATAAAGATGAATGGCAAAAAATAGACCCTTGAAATGCAAATGAACATTTTGCAAATTAAAATAGTTCAGTTGACCCCCTTTCTCAAATGACTGAGTTGCTGAAATGTAACAAATTATTTAAGTTCAAAACAAGAAATTATTTACTTTTAAATTACCGGAGAATGAAGAAGTTATTTTTCTGCCAAGTTCTAATATGCCGCCTTTTCCTGGGTAGTTTGGGGATATTTTTATATTTCTGCTTGACCTGGAAATGCAGATGACTCTCATTTGTTACAATTATTGTGCTACCCATTTAATTTAGTCTATAAATTCCTTGAGGCAGGAAACACATCTTCCTTTGGGATTGCTGAGCTCTGAAGGAAACCCTTTACAGCAGAAGGAGGCTGTCTAGAACAAAATTGTGCCGTGTTGATTTTCTCAACTCATCCTCTCAGTGCCAGGCAAACCTAGAGGTCCACAAAGCCCCTGAGGTTTATAAATTAAAGAATTTCAGAAAGTGAAAAATTCTGGATGCATAGATTTAAAATGAACTTGGGATCAATACTTTGGAATTTTTTGTCCTATACTGGCTATCTCAAGGAGGAAGAAGAATTGTGTTTACCCTGTCAGTCACGAAATAGGATCATTCCTGGCCCACTGGTCTCTTCCACTGGATAAAGGCAGTAATGGGATGATATTCCTCCTAATGCCTGTGAAGCATCTCCTTGAAACTCTGTTCACAAATGTCACTCAGAGTCAGAGCTGTCCGGTGTTTATGCACAGCGTGGATGCTGCAGCTCACAGCAGCTCATCTCCCAGGGCCTGTGCTCAGTCAGCTGCTCAGAGCAAGTCAGCGAGCTCAGGCAGCCAGAGACACTCCGCTGCACCTGCAGCTGCAAATTGCCCACACCACCTCTGGAGCTTCATGTCCTTGCCGGTTGTCTTCCATCCTTTATGCCTTACTGCACTCTACCAATCTCCCCAGTGACATCTGAGCTGCTCTGATCTCCTCAAAGTTCAACAGCTGGTGGTGATCCAGCGTAAAGCTCACACAGCCTGCTTCTGGAGCCCCTTTCACCTCAGATTTATTAGCCCCATGGTCTCTGTAGATTCCTCAAAATGCTCGTAAATTAGAAATATTAATAAAAGGGACACTGTAGGTTTAAACAGATAACATTTATGATTTTTTTAATGGCACAGTTATTATCAATTGACATTTAAAATAGCATCATAATCCATCAAGGTGAAATGGATTCAGAAAAATATTTCTCCCAAGGCAAAACCCATAACTGTAGCAGCAGGTTTGCAAGAGAGGAAGGACACAAACAGTTTGAGCCCAGGTCACTGATTACATAATTTAGAGGTGTTTTTTAACAACTTCACCCTCTGTTTAATCCATTCTTGTGTTTCATAATGCTTCTTCTCCACTGCCAGCCCCCCTGAGCCCTTTGTAGAGGTTTTTACATCAAAAATCTTTAGTTAATCCATGATAGGGAGCAATTTCCTTTGGATGGAGCAGGAACTGTTATATGTGGGAAGGACTGGAGAGATCAAAGTTTGTCCTTTTTATAACAATTCAGGCCCTGAAGCAGCAATTGACATGGAGAACTGTCCAGCATGGCTATAAACAAGCTTTGATTTTTTGCTGTTTGCCTGACGGAAAGC